CCACTCCCACGTGGCCGCCTCATTGTCCAGGCAAAGCAGGCCCAGGTCCAGGGCCCGCTTCTCAGGCCCAGGCAGGGGTGGCCTCTCTAGGCCCAGAGGCCCGCTGCCTGCCACCGCCACCCCTCCTGGCTCCCTCCTGGGGCTGGAGCCATCACCAGCAGGCAGTTGACCAGGCCGCAGGGCCCCCGTTTCAGGGCTGTCGGCCTGGGAGGTCATCCTGGGCACTGATGCCGGCCGGGCCACCTGGGCCTCTCCAAGGACTCCTAGGTCAGCACATGCTTCTGTGCAAGTCTGGGGCAGGGGGCACGCTGGGGGGCCCGAGGGGTCTGTCCTGGATGAAGGGGCTGCTTCGGTGCCCACACTGGCCAGGAGCTGATGAGTGGGAGCAGGTGTCTCAGTGGGAGGTGGCGGTGGTGCTGGCACCTGGCGGGGGGCGGGCATTTCCCCCTGCTTGGGGAGGCCCAGCACGGCAGGCACCTGCACAGGGAGCAGCCCCTGGGCCGTGAGCACCCAGGTGACAGGCAAGGGGATGCTGGTGGTCAGGGCGGGTGTCAGTCCGAGGGGCTGCATGGGCAGCTGAGCAGGGCTGGGGGCTGCAGGCAGGAAGCGTGGGACCTCGGGCAGGCCTGGCTTCCGGGTCGTGGTGGGGGCCTGAGACTGTCCCAGACTGCTCAAAGGGCGGCCCGCAGGGACCTGGCCAGAGCCCAGGGTGGGAGCGAGTGACAGGGCTCGTAAGGCAGGCAGGCGCTGGTCCTCATCTTTGGCTGAAGTCCCCAGCTCCTGCTGGGAGCCAGAAGCACCGGTGCTGGCTGCTGTGGGGGCCACGGACCCAGAGAGTCCTGTGCTTGAGATGGTGGGACTCAGGGCCGGGGGACTCTGGCGGGCTGGCGGGAGGGGCTGCTGGAGGACCACAGACGAGGAGATGAGCAGCTGTGGGGCAAGAGCCACGGGGCCCAGGGTGGCCTTCCTGGCAGGGGCCTCGCGGAGCCGTTTTTCGCGGAGCAGCTGTGACACAGTCTTCGGCCTGGGCCGGGGGCCCTGTGGGGCCAGCATGGGCGCTCGGGCAGAGGGGGACTTGGCCTGGCAGGGCTTCAGCTCTGTGCTCCTTGAGTCTGTGCTCTGTGCAGCATCCCGAGGTGGCACGTGGTGAGGGCGGCAACCTGTGGAGGGCGGACATCACTGTGACGGGCGGGGGTCCCAACGTCCAGCCTGGGGACACCACAGCCCCTGCAGCAGGTGCAGCTGGACACAAGGTACAGGCGCTGCTGTGGCTGGGAGGGGCACCAGCTGTCTGCTCCCAGGTCTCCTACCTCGCAGCTCCCAAGCAGCCTGAGTGTAGCTCCTGAATCCCAAACCAAGACTCAGCTAGCTGCGCTCCCCTGCCTGACTTCCTGCTGTCAACCCAGCCCCCACCTGGCTCTGCAACAGGAGTGACCATGGCAGCTGGCAGGCCAGGCCCTTGCTAAGGTAGCCCGGGTGCTGGGACTCACAGGAACAGGCTGTGCCCATCACCTGGGCTCAAATGCATGGCAGGCACATGAGCACCCACCCCCAAGAAATGCAGAGGCAGTACCTGGGGGGGCCAGGGCTCCAGAGGGCACCTGCAAGAGAAGGGGGTGTCAGCCAGCACAGTCCTCCCTGGGCCCTGCCCACTCCCCGACAGCTCAGAGCTAGGGCTACAGCGCCTCCCACAGGCACCTACGGGGACCAGAGATGTACGTGGTCCTCAGACACTGGTGACATGATGTTGGCCCCCTGGGTGACAGGGCTCTGGGGAGAGGCCTCCCGACTGCCCGCTTGTGTGTGCGTCTGGTGCCCCAGCTCCCCGGGGTTTGTGGTGGGTGGGCTGTTGGGGAGGCAGGCTCAGCACCTGCGCCCTGCCTGGAGCCAGACCCCAGGCTGCACCATCCTCACCCCTCACCCCTCATGCCTGCTACCTGCAGAGGATGTGGTGGGGGGCCCTGGGCACCAGGTAGGGGCGGCGTGGGCAGCTGTGTCTTTCTCTCTCGAACAACCTCCATGCAGCCAGCAGTATCGATCTGCATCAGCTAGGGCAGGTGAGACACAGTGTGCAGGGGCCAGAGGCAGAGCCCAGGCAGCACCACACCCACTCAGCCTCCCTGACCTCCTTCCTTCTCACAGGGCCCAGCACGGCTCCTCTGGTCCCCACGCCAGCTCCGACCCCCTCCCCAGGATGCCATTCAGCCGGGGGGCGGGATGCTCATCAGCTAGCTGCCCCTTCCACACGGCTCTGCTGAGGGCATGGCCACAGGACCGAAAACCTCAGAGAAGCAGACTGCAGGGAAGAGACCTGCTGCAGCCTCAGATCTCTGCCGAAGAACACACAGCTGTCACTGTGCAGGCAGCTCACCTGCATGCAGAGTGTGAACACGGGGGTGCTGGCCAGGTGGACTCGCTCCAACTGTGTCTTGATGCCATCGGCTAGGGGACAAGGCACACATGTGGGGCTCTCAGGTGCCAGGAGCCCCACAGCCACAGGTGGACAGACGGCAGGTCCCTCTCAGTCCTCCCCCGCATCTAGCTGCCCTTCCTGGCCCGGAAGACAGTGAGGGTGGAGAGGGTCCTCACTGCTCTTCCCCCTGCCTTCAGAGCTGGGGCCTGTCCCGGGCATGACCCACCGCCAGGGCCCCCACAGACCATGTGCACCAAGCAGGATGTGCCCCTTCCCCCATCCCAGGTCCCCAGACAAGGGCACCTCGAATCCGTGCCACCTCAGGTCTCTGGGGAGCCTGGACGCAGGGCAGGGTGACGTCGCCCACCCAGGGCGTCACAGCCAGCAGTAGCCTGCGCTCCAGGAGCCGCCGGTGCAAAGCACGTCTCCGGCGCTGCTGTCTGTTCTGGAAGGTTCCATGCCACAGCTGCCGCAGGTGGGGCCCATCCTCGCTGTCACCTGGGCCAGGCCCAGGGGGTGAGCCAGGCAGTGGCAGCTGCCTCAGCCTCTCCTTCTGCGGGCAGGAGGAGGTATGTGGGCTCCTAGGCGTGGAGGTGTTTAGTGCCCCCCTCTGCCTCAGGCCACGTAGGCAGTACAGGACGGGACGGGACCACTGAGGGCTGGGGACGTGGGTGGTGGTCACGAGAGTGCGCGTGCACCCAGACCCTCACCAGTGTGCAGCTCTGGGCGGCCGTGTTGGTCCTGAGCACCCTCTGCACCATCTCCAGGGGCACTGTCAGCAGACGCTGCCCACCCTGAAAAGACCACAGGCCTGAGGCCACTGCTGTAGACACCCAGGCAGGACACCTGAGCAGGACCTAGTGCATACGTGGGTGCCACTCACACTTGGAGAAGGTCCGCCTGAGAAAAGTGTGGGGTGCTCAGGCAGGGCTCCCGGGAGGAGGTGGCAGGTCCCTGAGGCCTGGCTCCCAGGACAGCCGCCTGGCCCTGCGATAGCGCTGGGGTGGAATGTGCTCGGGGGGCTGCCAGGCAGAACAGGGCCACCAGGGCTGTGCCCACACCCAGCATCTGAGTCCTCAAATACAGAGGGGTAGGCAGAGGCCCACACCCAGCCAGTCACAGGGCACACGGATAGGGCCCTGCACAGGGAGCCCGTGGGGGCTGTATCTCCTCCCTGCAGCATCCCCTCTCCAAGCTTGGAGGCCAGACATTTCAGATTCTTCCAACCCAAGTGCATCCCTGAGGCAGCTCACCCTCCTGGCCTCTAAAGCAAGCACCGTGGCAAAGCAGAGGCCACCAGCCTCTACGAAGGCCACTGCCTTGTGTGACTGCCATCAGCCAGAAGTGGGACAGTCTAGCTGGAGGGCGTGGCTGGTGGATAGGCCAGAGACCAGGCTGCCACACTGCCCGAGAACCCACCTCCATGACCCCCGAGCCCAAGTACCCCCACCTCTCCCCTGTACACATCTGGGGTGCCCCGGGGCCCACCTCAGGGGCTGCCTGCCCCAGGCTCGTGCGGGGGGAGTCCGCTGAGTGGGTGCTGTGGACCCCAGAGGATGCCTGCGCCTGTCTCGTGGTCTCCCCAGGAGCCAGGGCTGTTGGGGCGGCTTCAGGGTCCTGGCTGGTGCTCTGCCGGGCAGGAAGCCACAGGTCCATGTTGGGCACCACGTACTGCGGGGATGGCGGCACGCTGCCTGCCTCCTGGGGCTCCTCCGGCTCCGCCTCAGAATCCTCAGAGTCCCCACTGCTGCTGTTGCTGCCACTGCAGATGCCGTCGCTGTCCTCACTGCTGCCACCACTGCTGCTGGAACTCCACTGGATGCTGGGGCGCAGCCGCCGCCGCCGCCGCCTCTGCACCCTCTGCTTCTTCTGCGGGGAGAATGGGCCACTTGGGGACAACAGGCAGGCAACCCGGCCCCAGAGACAGGACAGCCTTGGGAGCAGGGTCCCGGGAAGAAGGCACACCATGGCCAGAAACTCCCACCCCCATCCTGTCCAGCGGGAACCCCAGCTCGGGCAAGCCCCTCACCCCAACCATGCTCTTCCACTTTCAGACACTGTATGGCCAGAAACTCCCACCCCCATCCTGTCCAGCGGGAACCCCAGCTCGGGCAAGCCCCTCACCCCAACCATGCTCTTCCACTTGCTCAGACACTGGGAGCCGGACCGGTTGGGGAGTTCAGAGGCAATTTTTGCCCAGTGACCTAAAAGGCAAAACGGCATGGAAACTGCTTCCTTCCAACTGTCTTTGGTGGCGACCAGTGACCAGCTTGCGGAGGAGGGCAGCTGTGTCCTTGAGGCTGGGCCTGTTCATGGGCTCCTGCCCCCGTCACAGGCTCAGCAGAAGTGGGGTGCACCCCCAACCTGGCAGCACCTGATTCTGGGGGGCGATGAGCCCCTCAGGGTAGCTCTGGCAAACATACAACCGAGAGTGAAGCCATTCACGTGGTCCCCACCTGCCTGCACATCTGCCCCCAGTTCCCAGGGGACAGTGCTGGCTCTGTCCTTCAGACAGACGGGTGGAACCTGGTGCTTTGCTTCCCCAGCACAGTAGGACAACAGACGACAGAGCCTATACTTTGACATCACCCTTAAACCTGGCAGTTCCACGGCTAGGGTTTATTCTGAGGCAATGCTATTAACCTGAACACCTGCTGAGAGGCTACGAGCGATTCTTCAGGGAAATGCCCGGTGGTCCCTGCAACGCGGGCACGACAGAACCTGTGAAGACACACAGGACATCTCTCCCCTTGGGCAGAGCAGCTGGCTGCACGCGGGCAGCCTGGCGGATGCCGACCCTTAGGGGAGCCATGCACAGGGCCAGGAGTGGGCACTCGGGCGAGGCTGGCCGGGGAGGAGCCCTGGTCCCGCCACTCCTTCCTGTCTGCCCGAACGTCCACACACAAGGTCTGCGGAAGCTGCGGCTCGGTGGCAGGCCCCCATCTGGCACTTGTGAGTGAGGGCCTGGGTTCTACCCCAGCCCCCAGAACGGGCGAGTCTGTGCGGAGAGCCCGGCGCCTGTGAGGACGTGACAGCGCTGCACTCGGGCAGGCGCCCGGGGCCCCCAGCGGCCCCCGCACCTCTGCATGTGTGTCCCGAGTGTGACGCCTGCGTAGAGCAAATGGCACGCTTCCCACGCTCACCAACACCGTGCTTTTCTATCAGCTCCATCAGCTGCGCCTCCTCTTCCGCGTTCCATCGCCCCTTCTTCAAGCTGACATGTAACCTCCTGAGATACCTGAAAGGGCCACCGAGACGGGCGTTTTAGACCGAGACCTCCCACCGCTGTCCAGCTTCTGCCTAGACTGCGACGCGACACCCTAAGTACAAGGACAATGTAGATGCACGGGGCTTCATTGAAAATTGATGCTCTTCTGTTTCAAAGGACACCATCAAGAAAGACCAGCCAAGGTGGCCATGGTATCTGCTAAGCGCCTGGGTTGGTAAGACCAAGCGGTACGTGGCCACGATGCAGGAGTTCTGCAAATGGCAAAGGATTTGAATAGCTGTCTCCCAGGAGAGAGGACACAGAGAGCCAGCAGGCACACACAGACGCCGTCCAGTGAGCCAGCCAGCCCCGCGAAACACAACATGGTCCACGCTGAGGAACCGCTTCACCCTAAGAGGCCACAAGGCCAGCTGCCGGCACAGGACAGTTGAGAATGAGCGTCGGAACGGGTGTGAGACACAGGGCCCTTCATACGGTGCTGGTGGACATAGGTGGTCTGGCTACTGCTGGTCCCTGGAAGGCTCAATGCGGGTTCTGTGGGACCCGACCACTCCACCTGGAGGGCTGCACCCGAAAGAGCCAACGTCCTGTCCACGTGAGAACCTGCAGACACGCTCAGAATGCACTCTGGAGTGACACGCATGGCCTCAAAGTTCCTCCAGAGGCTGGGCAGTGCCCCACTGTGGGTCCAAACCAGTTTCCTTGTCCACTGTGAACCACACGAGTATGCTGAACAGCATCTGTGTGTGGCTGGGCTGCCATTTCCCTGGGGTTCACGCCAGCTGACTGGGGCATCATCCTATGTTCTCCACTCTGAGGAATCGCCTGTTTCCCACACATCATCCAATACGACTGCCAAAGTACGTTGAGGGCTCCAACTTCTCCACACCCGTCACCCTCCCTTAAGAAAATGCACCACCACCCTGAGGCAGAGTGGATTCCACTGTGGCCTTTGTATTTCTGAGAAGTCGGACATCTTTTCATGAGCTCGCTGACTATCCTGCGAGAGGCATCTGTTTAAGACCTTGGCCTCAGCCCTACTGAGTTGGATTCTGTGTAACTGTGGAGGGCAGTCTCTTTCTATGATGGTCAAAATGTTTTAAAGTCGATAGACATGGTGGCACACACTGGCCAACTCAGCACGGGGAGGACTGCAGCTGGAGCCCAGCCTGGGCCACCTGAGGGAGACCCTGTCTCTTAAGATAACACTACCAAAGGGCTGGGGCGCAGCTTAGTGTGGAAGTCCTGCCTTCAGAGCCCAGTGCCATGGAGCTTTAGAGTTGAGTGCAGTGATGATCACACAGCTCAACGAACATTAAAAACCGCTGACCGTTCACTTCAGTTAAGGAGCTGTGCTAAAAAGGAGATGAGCTGCTGCCTGGGGCTTGCCCACCGACAACCAGGAGGACTTGATGCCAGGCTCAGGAGTACCATGCCCACGGAGTGGCCAGCAGCCAGCATCTTGCTTCAGTTACCAGCAGTACAGACACAAAATACAGGAAAAGCACCAGGGAGCTGGGTGGACCTCAGCAGGGGAAGCCCCTTGGGCCATGCCCCACCCAGTACAGCCCCCGCAAGCACCCTGCAACTCACCGGTCTCGGCACTGGGCATCGCTCCGGCCTGGCACCTCCTCCCGGATCTTAAACCAGTCCTGCTCCCCATACTTAGCAACTGCTCGTAGCAGTTTCTGCAGGGCACAACAGGCAGGTGAGCGAGGCCTCGTGGGCACAATCACCCAGGACAGCAGGCAGCCTCAGGGATAGTTCTCCTTGGGCCCCACAGACTCACAGCATCTTCGTCTGGGGCCCAGAACCCTTTTCTCAGGTTAGGATCCAAGCTCTTGGTCCACCGGTAGATCAGCTGCATGGAGTCTCTCCCTTCCATGTAGTAAACAACTGGGGGCGGAGGGGTCAGCTGGGGACATGGGGCAGCTGGGGACACAGGGTTGGCTAGGGGCAGAGGGGTCAGCTGGGGGCAACTTGGGACAGGGGCTCTGGGGCAGAGACGCCGTCTCCCACATAGAAGACAACTGGGCACTCATGGTGCCCCAGACACGGCCATCCAGAAGGCCAGCGGAAATCTCTGGTCTGCGGGAATTGAGCTGCGCAGAGCCGGGGGAGTGGCCTGGGCCTGGCGCATGCGCACTGCTTACTCTTGCGGTAGGGGACGTGACTCCCCAGGCGCATCTGCTGTACCAGCTGCGTGAGCATGCGGTCCTCCTCCTCTGTCCACTGCCTGCGCTTCAGGGCTCTGTTGTGCTGCTGGAACTGCTGCAGGCACTGGAAGGCGCTGCGGCCGGTCTTCCCAGGACCAAGAGAAACAAACAGGGACACTGGGCTTGGCCGGGCATCGGAAGGATGCGGGAGTGGCTGTGGGTGCTCCGGGGGACAAGGGAGGGATCCTCCTTTTCTAGCCCTGCCAGGATGGGCACAGAAGATCCCTGCCCAGGACCAGGAACGCCAGCAGGAGAGGGTACAAGTGTTCACGCTTAGAGAAGCCGCAAGACTTACTCAGGTGCAACCTGAGCACCCAGGAAGCCACAGGGAAGGGGAGAACACCTGCCAAGAGGCTGCCCAGCACCACTGCCCTCTCTAGGTGGGCTCTCGGGCCTCCCGGGGCAGCTGCGACACAGGATGCTGGGACCGTCCTGGTGTGGCATCCACAGCTGCAGAGATGCCCTTGGGGGTGCTGTGCTCAGCCAGCGCCCTGCCTGCTCTGCACCCTGGTTTCCTTGTGGGAAGGGGCTTCCCAGGGGCCTATCTAACCCTCACCCTACCCTGTCCCCACCGGCATGCTGCTCAGCAGAGGCCTCTGGGATGTCTGCTCCCCGAAGAGCACAGCAAAGGTCCCAGGACTCCCCCTCCCATCTACACAGTGTGACCTTCCAGGCAGACTCTGCTGCAGGCACCGACACATATGGCCTAGCACACGGAGCCTGGGCTCTCTCGACACCCAGGGCAGGCAGGAAAATCAGAGACCCCAGGCCGAAGGCTCCTGGCTGTCAGGGGCCTGGCGCCCTCTGAGGAAAGAAGTCTGGGCAGTGGTGAGGCTCTCGGCCTGGAGCCGGGGTTGGGGGGTGGCACGCATGGGGGCCCTGGGCAGCTGGATGGTAACTGCAGTGATTCTCGGGGAGGGAGAATCCAGAGGGAAGCTGCCAGCCATGGGAAGCAGGTCTGACTGCAGCCCAAGAGAGCAGACCCAGGGCCGTACGGAACGGATGGCCCAGCAGCAGTGCCAGGGCTGGAGGAAGACACGGGGAGGGGACGGGTGGCCTGAGCCATGGCACCCCACACCGTGGTCAACAGCAAAGGCCTGAAACAGTCAGGGGATCACAAGCCAGTCCAGTCCTGTGCTGCTTTCATAAAAGCAGATATAGCTCAGCAGCACTGCACCTGCCTGGCAAGCGCAGGTCCTGAGTTTGAGTCCCAGTGCCAGAGAAAAAAATAAAACACTGGGAAGGGGCAGCTTGTTAAAAAGTGGCAATACGGCCGGGGATTTAGCTCAGTGATGCCGTCCCCTGCCTCGCAAGCGCAACGACCCAAGTTCACTCCCCAGTACCTGCCCCCCCCAAACATGGCAATGAACGACAGCAGCCCTTTTCCACACAGGGTGGGGTGCAATGCAGAGTCCCAGGAGAACAGTAAGAGCATTTACCCACCAAATAGAATAGTGAAATCGTAAAGGCACACGCACCAAACTGCACAGCAGACACAGCTAGTAAGAGGCATGAGAATAGACCCTCAGCGCCGCTGTCAGGCTGTATGCAATGGCAGTGCACAACTTTTCAAACACCAGCTCCTGAGAGCAAGGGCCAGGACAGACTGGCCCCACTTTGTGGAGTGGAGCCCCAGGCCTGCAGCTCGAAGAATGTGCTTTCTTCTCCCCACCAGGATGATGGGGAGTTGCTATGGAGCCCAGGGGACCTCAAACTCGAAATCCTCCTGCCTCAGCCCTACCCAGAGCTGGGACTATTGTTGTGTATCCCTGCACCTGGCTGAGAACATGTTTTTTTTTTTGGGGGGGTACCGGGGATTGAACTCAGGTCCCTGCGCTTGCAAGGGAGAACAGGTCTTTTTAAAAAACGTTGTTTTGTAAGTTCAGTTTTGTGGGCTATAACTGTGTCCTCTGCCATGGAGCAAGTGATACAGCCTTTAAAAATGGAGACGTTCTCCAGCACCTTCTCAGGGTGTGACTCAGTGGACACAGGATAAACAGGGTAAGGCTCCAGGATATCTGCTGAAAGATGGGAAAACACATTCCCAGAAAACGCTGGGTTCAAAGGGCAGCGATAGCCAAAATTACAGATTCTCTAGAAACCAAGGGAAGAACATTCTGTGCCACACTCTTCTCAGAAACAAGGCCTCAATCGCCTTCACCGGTAGAGACCAAAGGCCCAGGAGACACCCTGAAGGTCAGAAGGAGACCCTGGCACTTACACCATCCACAAGGGCGGCGGGGAAGCCACAGCCCATGTTGCTCACAGCTGTGGGGCCAGACACACAACCGAGAGGACTCCAGGGCCTGGCCCAGTCCCGTCCTTACCCCCAGCTCCTCGGCGACCAGCTGCCATTGCAGGTGGCCATGTGTGGCAGCGATGGCCATCAGCTGCCCCACCTCCTCCACGCTCCACTCCTGCTTGTTGATGCTCGGGTGCTCAGAGCTCTGCCAGAACTTCTGGATCTCCTCTGCGCTGCGGCCACCTTCAAACTGTACAGAGGGCACAGCCTGCTGACCCGAACCCATGCCTGGGACGGCTCCGGGCTGAGCTGCCTGTAGCCAGCACATCCAGGACCAGTAGGAAGTGGAACCTTCAATTTACCTGGCCCCAAATGCAAAGCCAGGAGTCTCCGAGATCGCCCATCTCAGAGGGGCCTCAGGTTAGGCAGGGAGGGCCCAAGGCCACAGCTGCACCTCCTGTTAGACACCAGAGTGTGCATAGCCTGACTACCCAATACGACCTGCTCAGCCTCAAGGAAGCTGGCCCGGCCCTGTCCCACTTACATTGATTTTGGAAATCTTCTCCCAGTCGTGGGGGTCCAGCCTGTTCCCCAGCAGGGCCTCCTCTGGGAGCTGGCTGGCGAAAGGCACAGGATGTTGGTGTCATGCTGGCCTGCAGTCCATCCCCAGACCCGGAAGGCCTCACTTACTTAATATCCTGGATCTCCTGCTCCGCACACCTGGCCTGCTCCTCCAGGGCCTGCCTCTCTGGCTCACTGGAGACCTGGCTCTGCTTCTGGCGCAGGTACTCGAGCCTGCAAGGCATGGCAGAGGTAGGAAGGCTGTGGATGGTGCCATGTGGAGGGGAGCACAGGGCTGGGCTGGGGCAGGGCTGCAATGTGGCAAGTCCTTGGAGGCCGGGCCTACACTTGCATCTGCCTTTCTCTACTGCCTTGGCCCCTCACTGCAGCACCCCTCTGGGGTGTCCGTAGGCCTGGTACGGTGTCCCCCAGGGCAAGAGGCTCGGTGCCTACTGGTTGCTCTGTGTCTCAGAGCCCGGCCCACACTGCTGAACCGGGGCAGAGCAGACAGAGACAGCTGCTGCCCTGCGGGGGCTGGAAGGGGAGCCCATGGGAGGCACCGCCCTATGCCATCCACCAGGGCCACAAACCCTGACTACCCCAAGCCTCAGGCAGCTGGGAAGCGCTGCCCAGTGCCTGCCTGTCCTACTGCTCCATCCCAGAGCTACGGATCCTGACTACAGGCCACGCAGGTACTGGGGGCAGACCCAAGGGCCACGAACACACATTCAGCCCAGCCCAGACCTCATGGCTGTCACTCAGGTGCCACCTGACTCTGAACATGTGGCAGTAGCATGTGGCACAAGTAGCATGTGGCAGTACCCTTGCAGCCCAGGTGGCACGGTGGGTGCCCTATGGTTACGCGATGTTCCCCACACGCAAGTCCACAGGCTTTGTGGACAGCCCCATCCTCACAAGGGAAGCAGAGACCAGAAAAGAGAAACGGCTCGAACCATGCAGCTGAGCACTTGACTGTGACACAGAGCGCCTCCTTCACAGGTGGGTGGAGCTGGGCCATGGGGAGCCCCCCAGGGTTGGTGGGCAGCACAGGGCGGGAGCCTGGCTGTCCCACCTCTGCCTCAGGAAGCTGCACAGCCCCGTTTCCAGACTTACTTCAGCAGCTTGGGCTGGAGCAGGCGCTGCAGGCGGTCGCTCACCACTGACTTCCTGAGCAAGGCCTTCTCCCAGTGCTTCCCTGAGGAGGAAGGTGTGTCACGGCTCATGTCCCTAGGATGCACACTGCGCCCTTCCTCCCCAGCCTTGGGCACCGTGACTGGCCTCGTGGAGGCCCTTTTGGACATGAGGTGGGCAGCAGGCAGGCCCACCCACCAGCCTCTGTCCAGCCAACAACCCTGCCAAGGCCCGGCAGCAGTGGGGCTAGGTGTTTCCAGAAAAGGTGGGAGAGATACAGGAAGCGGGGCTGGTCCTGGCAGCCAGCATCTTCAAAAGGACCCTGCTCACGGTGGGGAAGACAAGGGTCAAGGCCACAGGAAATGGGTCTGTGAAGGGCAGTGCCCTCCCCTCCTAGTCCCCATGCTCAAGGACCCAGGAGAGTTGCTTACACTTGGTCACCAGGAGCTGCTCAAAAGCCTTGATTCCCTGGGCAGCTTTCTCCCGGGTATCTTCGTTGGCAGGAGGCCCCTGTGTCACAGTGCACAGCAGAATGACATGGCAGGCTATGCAGTCACGTGCAGGACCCAGAGCCCCCTTCCCCTCCCGCCATCCTTCTCTTCCCAGGGCTGCTACCGCAGGAACGGGCTGGGCGCGACCTGACCAGCATGGGGTGGCCAGAAGCTCCAGGTGGGGCGAGCGGCACAGGCCTGCCACGAGCAGCACCAGGCTCTGCGGTGGGGACTTGCCGACGGCCCTGGCGCCACGCCACCTCAGGGAAGCGCACCCAGGCTACCTACTCCACGGCAGAGGTCAGCACGCAGGGGCGCCAACTCCCACCTGGGGACGAGGGGGCTTTGAGGAAGGAGAACGTGGCTCTGAAGAACCCAGGAAAGCCTGGGACCACGCAGGGCTGGCTGAGGGGACTGAGAGCCTTCCTGGAGGAACCGCACCACGCTGAGCACAGCAGGGTCCCAGCCACTCACCACTCCGGTGACCTTGTCCTTAAAATATGGCTTCATGAAGTGTCCCATGTACATGTGTGGGGCCAGGCCTTGGCCGTCCTTCACCCTGGGGCCTTGGGATCCGGAGAGGCCCCACAGGATCTCCTCCTGGGACAGAAGCAGGGCAGAGGGCGTCAGGTGCAGGGTGCGCGGGGCTCAGAGCCAGGAGCAGCTGCCGCTCAGGGGCCTCCTACCTGCTGCTCCCGGTTCTGGGCCAGCAGCAGGCTGACCTCGGCCAGCTTCTCCTGGATGACCTCCTGGTAGACCATGTTCAGTTGCAGACAGGTCTCGGGGTCCTCAGGGAGGGCTTTATCCTTGGGGTCCTCCTCGTCATCGCTGGCTTCACCCCACCTCTCTTCTGCCTGGAGAGGAACAGAATGGCAACCAAGGACATGGACACGAGGACAGCCCCCACCTCAGCCCCGGCTCCCACTGCCGGGCCCTGGGACACAGAGGTAGCTTCAGCATAAGACCACCATGTGTGGAAACAAGAGGTGACCTGGCGGGCGACAGGGGCATGGCCAGCGACTGCGAGGGGCGCATCTGGGGCGGGTCAGTGTGAAGAAGCAGGCAGCTCCCATTGCTTCCTCCCTGGCACCACGGAGGAAGCTGCCCGCAGAGCTCTGTGCTTAGTGCTTAGAGCTGGAGATGCAAAAATGCCCACAGGGAAAGCACCACACACCACAGAGCCGCCTCAATATCCGTGAGAGGGCCCATGTAGCCCCTCAACATATGGGGCGACTCCATACCACCTAACAGATGGTGGGAAAAACAAGCAAACTGCAAATCTTTCCAAATAAACAAGAAATGGTTAATAACACCTGGCACCACGGAGTCCAACCGGCACTGTCCTGGGTTCTTCACACTCACTGCCAGCACAGCTGACCCCACATCCAGTTGGGAAAGGGACACAGTAGACATGGGCACAGCATGTGGTCTTTCTCGTGACACCGAGTAGAATGTGAGAGAGTCAGCATCGGCTGGGGAAAGCCAGCAGGGCAAGCACCAGGCTGTGAGTGGTGGTTATTTCTGAGGCCAGTTTTCGTTTTGAGAGTAAGTACTTTGTGGCAGCTTGTTGTTGTAACACCTTTAACTTTTACAGAACAGAAAAACTAAAAGGAGTCAGACTGCACCCTGCTGGGCTATTCCAGCGGTGGGGGGAGCAGCATTACCAAGACTCGGGGGCCAGCGACTTCCAAATCCTCCGGAGGCAGCGATTCTGTCAGAAACACAAGGGCACCATGTTGGGACCAGAAGACAGAGAGAGGGAGCATGGGGCAGGGAAGCCCAGGGAAGAAGAGATCCTGGGGGCCAGAGCCACGGGGACCGTCCAGGTTGATGGGCTGAGCCCCGGAGCACCTCTCCTCCTAGAGTGGCGTGGTCACCTAGAGCCCAGGCAGTTGGCAGGGGGACTGGATGTGTGTACGGTCAGGAGCTAGGCAATGAGGGACAGGGGTCAGCTCTGTGGTCGGGGTAAAGGCATGGGCCACACTAAGGAGAAAACTGCACGGCTAAAAGGACCGCTAGTGACCCACAGCAGTCCACCCACACCCCAAGAAAGGCAGGTGCATGGGCTCACCGGCATCAGAATCTGAATCAAGACTTGATTCTGAGATGTCCACGGGGATGCTGGAGGAGCTGGGGTCCAAAATCCTTTCCAGCTCCTTAATCTCCTTCGATATTTTCTCTCTTTCAGCATCTATGTCCATGACTTGTACCTGCCTCCAAAACACATCACACAATATTAGGGTACAAGAGAATGGCCAAATCCCACGCTGCCATGCCACTCTCTGGAGGAAGAGTGAGGCACAGGCCCAGCCCTGGTGCTGCAGCCCACCAGCCTTCTGGACCCCAACTTCTTCTTTGTGCTCTGCTTTGTCAGGAGTGAACATCCTGTGAACAAGACAAGCAACTCAGGCGGAGGCCAGGTGGACAGCAGCACGGCCCACCAGCCTGGTCTCCCTGCTCCCAGCCCAGCCCTACGGCTCCAGTGGCACGGCATCCAGCGCTCCATATATGGACTGCACATGCAGAGGGCACCTGACAGGTGACACTGCACTGGGACAGCACCGGAGGAGGACTCCTGGGGAAAGGGTCCATCTGTTCCTGCTCTCTCTCTAACCAGAATAGCACCTGGCAGAGGCCTGACACTGCACAAGCACCCACTGAAGGAGTCAGGAGGCTTTTTCCTTAGGAACAGTGGTGAGCAAAGTCTAACAGGGAAAGAAGCTGAAAGAGAAATCCGGGAAGATAAGGCACCGGCAAAGAATATTCCAGAAAAACACGCCCACACACAGGGGGTCAAAAGGCAAAGAAACAGCTGCCCCTGTCCTTGGCATCCCCTGCCGTCAGCAACAACACAAAACACCCGCCAGCAGGTGCCCTCCAAGTGTACCAGGCCTGCACCTCACTTATGCTGGGAAAAACTTGTCAACCTGCAGACCACCCACGAATGGAGGAGGGATCTGCAAAGCTGCCATGCCCAGGCAGGCCAGGGTGGGAGCAGCTGCTCTCTTCTGGAGGCCTGGACTCAGAGGAAGGGGCAGCTTGTGTTTTGAAGCCAATGTCACCTCCTCTCCAGCGCCCCCCCCCGCCCCATGTCACTCAGGTGAAGCAGAGAGGTCAACGTCACAAGTTCAAGTCCTGAGTCCCAGCCGGCCGCCTTCCCCAGCACCAGGGCCGCCCCGTTCCGCCCGGACTGTCCCTCCAGCGGGCAGAAGGTCAGAGTTCCCAGGGGGACTTCAGGCCCATGGGGTGGCCAGGCACAGCGCTGCAGCCCGGGCTCAGATCCTCCCCTCAGGCCGCGCCCCATAAACCGTTAATGCAAGAAGTCCCCGGCGCCCTTGAGGACAGCACGGCCCAGGGTGGGTGCTGCGTGCGCCGGCCGCGGGAACTCGCGAGGTCTAGGGGTGCAGGAGGCCCGGG